CCACATGTCTCGTTTTCTCCATGATGTTTTCACACAAGATGTTAATCAAATAGGAACAGAGGAGAAATGTGGAAGGAGCCGAAAGGGTTCCCACAGTAACTAACTTGGTTGGACAAACTTTTCCACTGTAATTCTATCCCAAGAGATTCTTTTCCCCCTTCTTTTTAAAAGTTAATTTTATTGGGGGTGACATTGAGTAATAGGATCATAGAAGTTTCAGGTGTGGGTTTCTATGCCATAGGGTCTCTATATTGCACTATGCCCACCACCCAAAGTCAAACCTTCTTCCATCTCCATATATTAGGCCCTCTTTACCCCCCACACTCTCATGGGATTCTTATTTAATTCTTTCATATTCGTTTTATGAGATAAATAATGTTGGTTTTAAAAGTAAAGTGGGAAAACGGTGGGATTGGTGGGGTATATGAAGGTTCGAAGTTAAGCAGAACAATTGGGGTTGCTCTAAATGTGGGAGATCTTTCTCTCCCTCCTTCCCGATCTGCTTTTGCTTCATTCATTCCACAATGTTTTGAGCATTCCTTCCGTCAGGCCCTGATCTAGGATCTGGTGAAAGGGCAGTGAAAATAAACAGCCATGGTCCCTACTCTCAAAAAGCTTTCATTATAATAATGGGGGGAAAACAATAGACAGACAAGCAGGTAATAAGAAACTATAAAAAAGAACGGCATGCCATGTGGTACTTAAAGAGGCTGATTTATTGGAGAACGTGGGTGGCTGCTTTAGATTGGGTGGTCAGGGATGATTAAGCTGAGCGTTGAAAGCAGGGAGGAGGCAGCCATTAGTAGTAGAACGTTCCTAGGAGTAGAACATTCCCAGCAAAGGGAATGACTTGTGCTTCCATGTGTGTCGAGGAGCGTGGAGAAAACCATAAAGAACTTCTAAACATAGCAAGCCTGGCCCAGCTAAGTCACTGATACAGAGAGAGATACAGGATGCTATTTCCTTCTCGTTTGTCTCAAACACATTATCTCCCCCCACCCCTCCTCTCTCTGCCAAGTGCAGGGCAAGAATACGTCTCTGATTTTGCACAAGGAATTATTATTGTGCTTATGATCATTTATTAGGATGAAGATGCAGCTTTACTTTGTCAGTCCAGAACTGGACTGAGTAATATATAAAATCCCTAATACCTTAGTATGGATGAGTTGATAGGAATTAAGAAAAGCAGGGATTTTGTTTCCTAGTCACACACTGAGCCCTAAAAGGAAAAAAAAAATCTTTGGAACCTTCAGGAATGATTTGTAGAGTGGGAGGCACCAGACTTATTTGGGGCACTCCAAACAAGGAACATAATATAACAGATAGTTCACAAGTTGGGTTTATGTTTGTTCTGTTCTCTTTTTCCCTGATGAGAAATCTGACTGAAGTACCCATTGCTTCTTTTCTCTGTACTGTAATAGAAGATTATGAGTGTCAGTCACATACATAACCCCTACTTAGGATTTTCCCCCCTATGCAGTGTATAAGGGCACTTCTGGTCCCACAGCAAGTGGTAAGGCATTCCACACACACCATGATAATAAAGAAGGGAGTGGAAGACCTCAGACCAAAGCACTTAAGTCGGTTACCCATAGAGGTTGGCTTGAAAGAGGAGAAGCGGCAAGAGTTAACTTTTCTTTAATTACTCCTGTATTGTTTAAATTGTTACGTCAAGATGCATTTTACTTTATAATGAAAATAAAAGCCAACAAAGTACTGTAATTCATAAGAAAAATTTAAAATTAATATACTAACACTTATCAAATGGCTCCGTGTCCTCGTGTTGGGCTGTACTTGAGGGGCAGCATCAGGGACAAAGACACTTGGAAATGCAGGAACCAAAGTTGATGCCTCCTCGATACTGAGCCAGAAACTCAGCCTCAGGACAGGCATGACTGACCTCGCTGGAGGCTGGGAGGGTTACAGGCCACTGGTGAAGATTTTCATTGGATAATAGAAGATCAGTGCTAGACCTTGTTAGAAGAATTCATGACATTTCTATCTTTTCATTTTAGTCTTCTCTCTCTCTCTCTCTCTCTCTCTCTCTCTCTCTCTCTCTCTCTCTCTCTCTCTCTCTCAGTATTAGAGCTATTTGAGAGGAAAAAAATGCAAAATATTTTTTCTAAAAATAATCTTTTTTTGCTCAGCCAGCATGACTCCATGGTTGAGGGTCAACCTATGAATCAGGAAGTCACAGTTTGATTCTTGGTTGGGGCACATGTCCGGGTTGTGGGCTTGATTCCCAGTGTGGGGCATGCAGGAGGAAACAAATAAATGATTATTTCTCATCATTGATGTTTCTATCTCTCTTCCTCTTCTTTCCTCTCTGAAATCAATAAAAATATATTTAAAAAATATGTAAGAAAAGATCTATTTTCAGAAATCTGGGAAATCAAACCTATTTTCAGGTTAAGTTATTGCAAGATTAAATATTTTGATACCTATTATTTGCCCCTCCTCACTGTTTCCTATTTGTTTGATTACAACTGATTCAGATGAATAAAATGTCATACATTCTCCTTTTAGAAAGAGGAATAAAATCATAGGCTCATGAGAAAAGATTAGAGCAATCCAAAGTTTTTCATTGCCAACCATAAGAAGCAAAATCTAATTTCCCCCCAATGTATAAAAAGAAATAAAAAGACGTATGATTACCATTAATTTAGATGCTATTCTAAACAAATGGCAGATGTCATTCAACAAAATTCCTCTATCAATGGATACAACTGTTAAAGCAATGAACGAAACTTTTCAGAAAAGACCATGGTAACAGAGAAAGGAGTGAAAGATTTCAGGATAAAGCAATAAAGTCAGTTACACAAAGAGGGTGTCTTCGAAGAGGAGAAACCGTGAGAGTGAGTTATTCTGTATTATTTAAATTGTCATATCAAGATGCATTTACTTTGTACTGAAAACAAAAGCCAATAAAGTACTATAATTCATAAGAAAAATTTTAAAATAAATATATATTTTCAAGTGTCATCATCTATGATTGTCTATCAAGTAAATAGTAGGCATACAATATGAATATTGCTAAATAGCGATCCAAGGATATACTTGAATGCCTAAAGATTTGAAAAACAAGGAAACAGTGGTAAAAACTGGTACCAGTACATGTTATTTCTCAGCTATCAGATTTGTGATTAGGTGCCCTGTCTTTCCCTACATTTCCTCTCGAAGGGGAGAGTAAGTAACCCCTTTATACAGATCTTGAAATACTAACGTCTGTTTTTCCTGTATCTTATTTTATAATGAAAAGTCTGACTAATAGGCAAATCATGATGTCACTCTTCAAACTTGTGCTTAAGCTACTCATCCTCTTAATAACCACAGAATTGTTGTCTGTGTTTTGCAGACATGCCCCTGCCCCCCACCAGGAGTACTAACATCACCATAAAGCAGAGCTAAAGGCTGAGCAGCTGTTGAAACTCCTGAGCTAAGAAGGGCTGAAATGCCTGTTAGCAGCTCCTCCACGGCTCTCCTGTGATTCACATCTAATTTATGACAGCCATTACCATGGACACAGGTCACTTAATCAAGAGTCCAGGCAAGTCCCAGCCATTAAGCAACATTCATCCTTTCTTCCCTCCCTCACCCCCCACTCTCTGGAGAGCAGGTCCCTTGTTTCATTAAAAGCACTAGAAATACATATTCAAAACGCAAAGATAAAAGGGGTCAGCCGTGGCAGTTAATTTTATGGGGTGAAGCTACAGACTGTGCATCTCTTTTAAGCCAGCTGCATTTGACCTCATTTTACCTGTTCAGAGTCTCGGCAGAGTTGGAGCACAGGTATTAAATGTTTGCCTGGCACCTTTCACACGACTGTATACAAACCTAGTGGCCCCATTGCCTGAAAACTGAGCTTGGGCGGCACACAGGCTTAAGGGCAGGGTGGTCATAGACCGATTTTTGAAACTGCAACACAAGATTGCCCAGAAGTTCCTTTTTATAAAATTGCCTGCCCATTTGTTAACTTAAGGTATTCATTTGGCTGATTTATTTCATTAGTCTAATAATCATGAGATCCCTTGGTAAACAATAATGCGATGTACAAATATATAGGATATTCCCACATATGAGTCGGTGGCAGGACTACAGAGAAACAATTCCTATCCTAAAGCCATCTTTCCTGCCCCAAATCAAAAACATCAGACATCAAGGAGAAATCTAAGGGGCTTCCCGCGACCCTGGTGCATTCATTCTCGAGGAAATGTGACCTCGTAGAGTATGTATACATTTTATATGAGGCTGACGTTTCCACTGACCTCTCCGGGGCATTAATTCAAGGTCTGTTATGCTACGACAGAACCTTTGGAGGGAACTGATCTCTGTCTCTCTCTGACACAGTAAGGGCTCCATTCACGACAACTCTCCGCTGTTGAGTGCCAATGGAAACAGCTCCTGCAAGGTTTAGCGTCCTAAGGAAATAGTGGAAATCTAATGTGGAGCTGATATTCATGGAAATTCCAAAGCCTTGGAGGTCGTGTTGTGAAGGGCGCTCTTCTTCCTGACGAGCCCGGCTATCCCTGCTGTCCTTCCCCTCCCGGGGTCCGTACAATGGGTTTCCACCCTCAGCCCCTCGTCTTCCTGTGCTTATCTAGAGCAGATTTCCTTACCGATTCTCACAGTGAAAACATTTGGAAATGCCGTTCACAGAGGGCTCAGAGCAGGTCCCCTTGCCCCTCACCTCTGGAGAGCAGCTACGTCCTTGCTGTACAATGGGAGGCCACATGGAGCACAGATATTTTCACAGCTGGGACCAGTTATAGCTTTTTAGCAAAAGGGTAGAGGTCGCCGAGCTCCTCATATACCTTCTTTATTTTTAGGTATCTTTTGTATTTTTTTTTTTTTCAAAGACCCCACTTGGTAGCAAAGCCCCATCGGCCAGAAGACAGCTGGCCTGCAGAAGTGGGCAATGTGCCACAAAGTGGTGTCCTCACTGACCAGAGAAGCGAGTTCGCGGCATGGAACGTGTTGTGAAAACAGGCAGGAGTACTCACAGTTTCGGCTTGGCAAGCAGAGGTGGAGGCTCCTTGGTGGGTGAGAGCAGGACAGCTGGTGCCGGGGGAGATTTATTGCCGTTAATCAGTCCGTTGACTCCGTGGCCGGGGTGCACTCCGTTCGTTTCCCTGTCTGCAGAACTGAATTGCATGTGTAGGGCTGCCATGCCCCGGCCTAACTCCGGGCTGTTCACCTGCTGGATCTCGGCTGGTTTCTTTGGAGCCAACTCAAAGGGACTGGTCTCGAAGATTGGAGGGGGAGGCGGAAAGTGCTGGAAGGGATCGCTGTTGGAGTCACCCATGGAGTCATAGCGACAGTCCTCAGTGTTGGCTAAAGAGGGGAAAGAGAGAGAACAGATAATAGGATGCTACTAACTCAGCAATTAGGTTCACCCTGTTCGGGATGGTCTGAGGATCCCTCGGACCCCAGTGTTACAGAAGAGGTAGCTGTGCTGCTTTTGCATCTGACGCAGAAGGGAAGCCAGCTGGAGGGCTTGGTGTGTCCAAGCTTGTTTGGGTGACTGCTAGTGTTTCATTTCCTGAATGGGCCCACAACTGGGGAAAGCAGCTACCTAGGCATTCCAAGTCAGAGCTAAAGACGGAACTTAGTGCAAAAATGACAACAGAGACAGCATCAACCAATAATGCTTCGTCTTCTCACATTTCAGCCACAGATCCGACTGACCATCCTATCTGAGCTTTACTAATATTAGCTAAAGCCCTAAGGTTTTATGGGATAAGCAATGAATAGGGAGGGATTCGTTCTATTGAAAGCTCAGTAAAGCGCTGAGTCTAAGGGAAATGTCTTATGACCTCGTAGATCACTTTTTTTTTTTTTTTTTTTTCCAGTTTAGATGATCGCCACAGCCATAACTCAACTTCCACCCCCATCTTTTTTTTCTTTTCTCTCAATAAACTGAATGTGTCTTGAGGTAAGACCATGTCTTCTTTGGATTTCTCCCTTTGCCCTGAGCCCAGCAGAGCTCCTGGAACATACTCAAAAGTGCTCACCGAGATGAACGGAGGAGGGCTCAGCAGTATTGGTTTATTTTGCTTGGCCTATCTGCCCCGGAAAAAAATGCCAAGTTTTGCCTCACAGACTTTAAGTCTGGAGTTTGGGCCATGCAGTGGGAACACTGCACAATGGCTGGGGCCATCTGATAGGACAGTCCTCAAGCCAAGCAGAATGGAAACACGGGGCTCTTCCCCACTCTGTAGCTCCCACCAATGCACATTTAAAGCACTCATTCAATCAACTGTCCTCTCATTAAGGGGAGCCTTTTCCTTCCTTTCTCCCTTCCTTTCCTTCTTTTTCTCCCTTCTTCCCTCTCTTCCTTTCTTTTTTTATTCTTTCCATTTTATGAAAACATTACTGTATCTTTAAAAAAAAATTTTTTTTTATTGTTGAGAGTATTACACATGTCCCCACATTTTTTCTTTTTTAGCTTTCAATTCCCTCTCAGGAGCCTTTATTTTCAAGATGATGCTCAACTGTAGTTGACAGAACTGGGTGCCAAAACTCAGGGCAGAGAGGGGGTTTTCGGCACTCTAGGGAGGTGATCTTGAGGCACATCAGCTCTGCCCCAGCATCCACAGTTCTTTTCTTAAGATGAAGATGAACAGCAATTCCCACGCTAAGCTCCCTGACTCAGTCTTGGTTGTGCCTCTGCTGCCCCCTAGCACCAAGTTCCCAGGCTTCCAAAGAAATCAAAGTGCGATTCCATTGCTCTCTCCATGTCTCTCTCATCCAACTGCCAACTCCATTTACTGACTCCCTGTTATGTGCACTATGGGTCATGCCTGGTCAAAGATATATTTTAACATTTGCTGTAAAATGAATAATAGAGATGAGGCAATAAAAATAAACTAAGGTATAGCTATCGATAATAGCAGAAAAGAGCAAGATAAAGTTACAGGAAAAGCTGTTTCCTATTGCCTTTGCCTTTGGTAAATTTTGGAGTTTAAAAAATACCCAAGTACTTCTGAATATTGGTTTTAATAGTACCTTGCTGTAGTTTTTCATATCTTATATTTCACTTCAGTGATATTGGACGTCTGAGATCTTACAGTTTCTCCAAATTCCATCGGGGTATTTTGTACTACTCTTTCAGAAGTTTCAACCGTAGGTTCAACCCTAATTTTTCTGAACATTTATCTCCTCTCCTGTGTTGACACTGCTCAAAACAGTGATAGCATCTCCCATCTCCAGGTGGCCTGCTATGAGCATGGTTTGGGGTTAGCATGAACACGTTAGGAAGCCAGCTCCATCGCTTCCAAGAAGACTGCATGGGCGATTTACAAAAATAGCGTCACGGGTCTTCAATGGCTCCATCATCATTATCCTTTTGTTATTCATCTCCACTTTCACTCCTCCTCCTGCAAAGCCTTTTGTTTGCTGATGAAATACTGACCTTCAGGATAACTCCTGGAGTGGCAGCACCATTCCCCATGGCTGAGCCCTCCTCCTGGGAGGGGCAGAACCCTGCCATTTATTACTCCTCACGTACCTGCGGTGACCACCAGCTGGGCAGTGCTGCTTACTGAGCCATAGTCATTTCGTGCTGAGCAGGTAAAGACCCCTGCATCTTCAGGGAAAGTCTCAGCGATGACGAGGGTACAGATCTCCTCTGGAAGGGAACAAGAGGACAGAACACACCTCATCAGAGTGACACTGTGAAGACACTCTGAAGAAGTCAGGTTGTCTGACTTTCATGAACAAGCAAATTAGATAATGATTATGGAAGAAGTGCTTGATTAAAAAAAAAGAGGGGGGGGGAGGGAGAGAGAGAGAGAAAGAGTTCACAAGAGACTCTCATTACATTCAATTTCTCAGTTTAGCCTGGGGACAAAAGCCTTGGGAGTCAGACCCATTTTTTGTGATTTCAGACAAGATCAGCTTTGGTTTCCTCATCTAATAAAATGGGATAAGATACACCCAGTGGGGTATCTGTTCAGATGAAACAAGATGTTTGCGAACTGTGAGCCTCTGCACTTCACACGTGAAAGATGCTCAGGAGCTGCCAGCTCCATCCTCCTCCTCCCTAGTTATTTGTATGTGGGAGTTCTCCCTACTAGGGTGTAGGTGACTGACTTCTGCTCAAAGGAAAAGCAATTGTGTGTGTGTGTGTGTGTGTGGGGGGGGATCAAGCTTCTTTGACATGATGACAAGGTGGGGGAGGGAGAGAACATAATATGTAAATGACCTACAGATAATTATTCTGGAAGCTACTGGTACACAGTGTGGCTGTGTTATGCAGTGTGAAAAGCCCAGACTCCGGAACCAGTTGCCAGGACTTGAGTAAGGGACCTGGTACACATCTTGCCTTTGTGGTTTTAGTCAACCTCCCCAAATGTCAATGCTCTACCTACCTTGTAGGTTTTGTAATTAGTCCTGACTCATAAAATTAACTATCACAGGGTTACTGTGAGAGTTGGTGATGATGGCTGTGACAACAGCTCAAAGTTATGTAGCTCTTATTAGGCACTAGGTATTGTCACCACTCTAAGCACAGATTAGTTTGGCTTTAATTCTCATGTCAACCTTATGAGTTATATTTATTATTAGTCTATTTAATAGACTGGAAAATGAAGCACAATTAGGCGAATTTGCCCAGTCTTATATAGGTAATGTGGTGAAATCAGAATTTGAACCAAGTGAGGCTACAGACTCCACACTCCTAACAACTACCTACCTATTCTTGTGATATAATATACATTGTGCATACAACACTGCCCAGCATAGAAAATGCTTTGTAGCCAGCAAATGTGAGCTGTTACCATTAAAAACCCAGATCTAGAATTTATTAACTATTTTAAATTGAATTGTTATCTATATCTATATATATAAAAGGCTAAGTGACTGACAATACATCTGTCCAATCATTTGACCAACCCACCAGCTGGTACATATGATGCGCACTGGCAATTTAAAAATAAATGCTCACTTGTGCATGCATGATACATATAAAGCTTTTACTGGCACCAATCACACACATGTTTCGATCTGTCATTGTTAATTGTAAACTATATCTATTGGTAATATTAAAAATATATCTAAACGTGTGATTCTTTGTCCTAAAAATGAGCATATTAATAAATTAAGTAGAGAAGTTTTGGATATACTCGATGGAGATTTTCACACCTATTTGAGTGATGATTCCATCATTTCAATGGATGGTGCTGTAAAGGAAAATTTTCCTATCCAATTTCTTAATAGTATTACTCCTTTGGGAATTACATGTCATAAATTAAAATTGAAAGAGCAATCATCATGCTACTGAGAAATCTTAATAGTAAATGGAGTCTCTGTAATGGTACTAGATTTATTATCCAAGATTGCAACCTAACATAATCAAAGCTCAAGTATCAACAGGATCTGCAGTTCTGATTCCAAGAACTGATTTGTCTCTGTCTGACACTGGCCTTCCATTTAAATTAATTTAAAGACAGTATCCCATGATGCCAGCATTTGCAATGACTATTAATAAACCACAAGGACAAACTCTAGACAGAGTAGGAATATTCCTACCTGAACCTGTTTTTCTACATGGTCAGTTATATGTTGCTTTCTCTCGAGTTCTGAGTGTGTGACATTAAAGTTAAAGGTGTAAATACTTCATTACAAGGGAAATGAGTCAAACACTCTGAAGGTGTTTTTTACTCTTAATGTGAATACAGGGAGATATTAGGTTAAGTTTAATCAATTTACTAGTCATAGTCTTTATATGTTTTTGTTGTTTTTATATTATATCTTTACTTTTGTTATATCATGCTGTTGTTTATTAATCAATTTGTATATTATTTTAATATACATTTCACTAATTTTCTGTTATCTTTGACACTTCTATTATAGAGAAAGGGCGAATAGCAATATCAAAATATTTCTTCTAATTAATTTTCTTTTGAATTTGTGCATCAGGCCTCTAGCAGTAAAATAAAAATGACTATGCTGTTAAATTTCCTCATTTAACATCATCTAAAGGTGGAGATTTTAAGTGAAAAAAATGCATAATGAAACAGAGTTTAGTATAGGCTAATCAGTGGTCAGCAAACTCATTAGTCAACAGAACCAAATATCAACAGTACAATTGAAATTTCTTTTGAGAGCCAAATTATAAATTTTTAAACTTAAATTTCTTCTAACACCACTTCTTCAAAATAGACTTGCCCAGGCTGTGGTATTTTGTGGAAGAGCCACACTCAAAGGGCCAAAGAGTCGCATGTGGCTCGCAAGCCACAGTTTGCCGACCATTGGACTAACTGATATAAGAGTTAAGTTTTTATGGCTTATTTCTAAATACAAAAACATTGCCAAGCTTCTAAATCAGGATCCCAAACATTTCTAATATTAAACATTAAAATAAATGGGAGCTAAACATACATTTAAGAAAGATGACGAAAAATAAGATTATTATTTTTTAATCCACTTACTCCAGTATAGGGTCATGGGCAGGCAGAGCATCTCCCACCAATTCAGGGAACCAGATAGGAGCCCACCCTGGACAGGATGCCCATCCATCACAGGGCACTCCCACCCACACACACTTTCTCTCAGACTGGGACAATGGAGACAATTCACATCTTTGGGATGTGGGAGAAAACCAGAGTCCCCAGAAAACCCCCACAAAACAATAAACTTCTTATATAAAGTGTATGCTATTATTTTGTATTCTACTTTGTTTTACTTTAAAATAATGGTGCTTACCATCCACTTGCATGAGTCCCCATAGGACCGAGCACAGTCCCTGGCTCAATAGATATCAGTAAATCTAAGTACTTGGCATATTAAGAAAAGGGTTTTTCCAAAAAATATGAAAACACTAATTCATGAAGATATCTGTATCCTTACGTTCATTGTAGCACTATTTCCAATAGCCAAGACACAGAAACAACTTAAATGTCACAGGCGAATGAATGGACAATGAAGATGCAGTACATATACAAAATGGAATATGACTCAGCCGTAAAAAAGATGAGATACTGCCATTTGAAGTAATATGGATCTTGCGAGAATGTATGCTAAGTGAAATAAGTCAGACAGAAAAAGAACAAAAGCCATATAATATTACTTATGTGGAATATAAAACCAAAAATGCAACTAACACAACAAACAAACTCACAGGCATAGAAAACAGAATGGTAGTTAACAAAGAGGAAGAGGGTGGGGGGAAGGGTAAGGGAGAGGAGTGCGGGGAAGGTAATGGGGTTCCAACATATGTTGACAGAAGGAATCTAGTCTTTGGGGGTTGATCATGCAATAGAATTCACAAATTTTGAATTAAAATATCACACACCTGAAATTTATAAAATATTATTAACCAATATTACCTTAGTAAAGTTAATCTTAAAAAAGGAAAAAAAAAAGGGATTTTAGGTAAACGTTTGGCAGGTGCTAATACATTTAAAATACACACTTATTATTTGATTTAAAGGTTACTAAAAAGAAGGAAAACAATGGAATTACAGAGCATGAGGTAATATATATATATATATCTATATATATATATATATTTTTTTTTAACTATGCTATACACAGTTCTTGGCTTTCCAATTGAAGAAGAAGATAGAAAGTGTGAAAATAATTCAAGTTGGATCTTCACATAAGATTATTTAGAAAGTGAGATGTATCTGGAAAGTTATAAGAGAGTGAAAATTTTTAAATTGAATGCCCAAGGTTACAGAATGAGTTAAAAGTGTATTTAGCCAGAGAAGGGTACATAAAACTTAGATTAGTGAAGGATGTTAGAGATTGACTAGCTCAAATCCCTCATTTCCTCAGGTGATGTCAAAGTAATTCTCACAAGGTCTTGGCTAATTAACGTCAAAGCCAAAATGCTGAGGTAGGCATCCAGCCTCCCACAAGTATGCTCTTTGCTTCCTTGTCTAGGACACAGGAACCCGATGTGAAATGAGGTAATGAGAAATTTATCATGGGAAACAAGGAGTTTCCTGAATCTGAACGTTTAATTGCTCTCACTATCCAAATAATTCACTAGAAATTCATCTGTACAAGGAGATGATGGGCTCTGTGTCCTCCAAGATACAAGACACATCGGCATAGGATATAAGCCAAAATGCAATGGAGAGTAGACATGCTAATATCTGAAGAAATGAAAAGCCCAATCTTATTAGAATTTTTTTGGGGGTGGGGAACCCTCACATAGTCATAGGCCTCTGAAAGATGGGCTTCAGTCAGAAGCAGGTCACCTTTGTTTCCTCTTAGCAGATGATGCTGGGAGCCATGAAACCTCACCAGCTTTCAGCATCACCTCCGAGCTTCCTGCCCAGGCAGCCGCTGCCTCTAGACCCACTCCATCCATATTCCTGGGGCTTGGTCCCCCCAGGAAGGTCTTCTCTCACCTATTTACCTCAAAAGGCAGAGTTTCTGGAGACACTGAACAAAATGCCTATTGCCAGTTCAATGCCTGCGAATGCTTTCATTGTAAAGATAGACATGCTTCCATGTCTTGAAACCTATGTTTAAAAAGACAAACTCTTCAGGGGTAAAGGAAAGCAATTTTGGAGTGAGGATCTTTACAACACATAGAGTTCTTTCCCATATTTTCCATAATTTTGTGATTTTTTTTTTTTTTTTTTTTTAGGTATGCTGTTTCAAGAAAACCTCAAA